ACCCTTGTTGAGAAACTTCCAATGAAGGAGAGTCCACCACCTCCCAAGGGAGACCATTCCACTGTCAAACTGCTCTGACTGCCAGAAGGTCCTTGCTAACGTTGAGTCGAACTCTCCTGTCTTGGAGTTTGAATCTGGAGCAGCAGAAAACCAGCTTGCTCCATCATTGATGGTGGCCATCTTGTAACTTTCCAGTCTTCTTCTTGTTGTTATTTAGTCGTTCAGTAGTGTCTGACTCTTCGTGACCCCCTGGACCAGAGCACGCCAGGCACTCCTGTCTTCCACTGCCTCCCGCAGTTTGGTCAAACTCATGCTGGTAGCTTCGAGAACACTGTCCAGCCACCTCGTCCTCTGTCGTCCCCTTCTCCTTGTGCCCTCCATCTTTCCCAACATTAGGGAGTCTTCTCTTCTCATGAGGTGTCCAAAATATTGGAGCCTCAGCTTCAGGATCTGTCCTTCCAGTGAGCACTCAGGGCTGATTTCCTTCAGAATGGAGAGGTTTGATCTTCTTGCAGTCCATGGGACTCTCAAGAGTCTCCTCCAGCACCAGAATTCAAAAGCATCCATTCTTCGGCGATCAGCCTTCTTTATGGTCCAGTCTTAACCACACCCAGCTCAACCGTTCTTCATCTGGGCATGGTTTCCAGGTCTTTGATCATCTGCATACATCGGCCTCCTCTGCATACGTTCCGGGTTTGACCCAGGTTTGTGTTTCGAGGCCGATCTATCATATTTGCACTTTCCAAGGTGATGTGAGAACTGAAAGACAGCCATGCTTCGAAATTTGCACTTCTCTGAATGGTGCGATGCAGTTCTCCAACCCAGTCATGTGAGCAAAATACAGTAGCACCTTGGCTTAAGTAACCCTCTGGTTACGTAAACTTCACGCTACGAAAGCGGCAAACCCGGAAGTATCAGACCGAGTTTTGCCATGCATGCATGCATGCATGCGCAGAAGTGGTCTACCGCCCCGTGCACATGCGCAGAAGCAGTCTACTGCCCCGCGCATGCGCAGAACAGCGATCCTCAGGTTGCTGAAACCTCGGGATCCGGCCGGACCTCTGGAATGGGTCCCGTTTGCAACCGGAGGTACCACTGAATAATAATAATAATAATAATAATAATAATAATAATAATAATAATAATAATAATAATTGCATTAGTGAAAAATTACAGAAATGCATTATTTTAGGGGAATTGCTTTGCAAAATAAATGCATACATTAGTCAAAGCTGCATGCAAAAATATGTTGGTTAGGAGAATAATCCGCACTAAGATGCTGGTGAATTTTAATGAGAACCGGACTTAAAGACTGGAAAAATGAGAAACAGAAATTGATATTGTAGAATTTCACTCCCTCCTGAATCCCAACTTGTCTCATAGTCCCTGGCTCTCAGCTTCTGGCCCACTGTGTGTGGTTTCCCATGTGTCAGACCAGGCAAGTCGCCTCTAAAGGCTCAAAACTCCTGGCATTTCTGACTGCTGCTGCTTCTAACCTTGCTTCTTAGGATAGATCCACATTGCGCATTTAAAGCACATGCAACGTGCATTTAAGGCACATGGCCCATAGGATCCCGGGAACTATAGTTTGTGGGAAATAGTAGCTTTGTGAAAACAACGGTGCCAGGGATTCTTTGGGGGCAAGTCAAGTGCTTTGAGTGTGTGTCAAATGTGTGGTGCAGATCTGCTCTTGCTCCCCAGAAAAGGAAGAGACGAGAGAGAACAGCAAAACAACTTTGGCAGACAATGGGTTAAAAATTCAAGGAGGGCCGTTTCCTCCCTCCTTCCAAGTTTGGTTCTTCCTTGGAGTGGCAAAGCGGGACCCTTTTCCTCCATAATTGCTCCCCTCTTGCGCAGGCATGACAGCATCTCCTCTGCGGCTTGTTGACATTTAAATAAATCAGAATCTGAAGGAGCAAGGAGATTGCCTGGGCAGGGAGGGGAGGCCGGAGGGGCCTGGGGAAGAGGGGAGAGAACCTCAAGCAGCCGGAGCAGCCATCACAGGCAAAGAAACTGGCACTTCCAATTCCTTGACAGGCGGGCACGAAACTGAGGCGGTGGCTGGAGCACAGAAGACATGGTGTCATCGCCCTTGGGAGCACCCTAGCGATTACCCTGTTAGCTGGGGTGGTGTCATGCATTGGCTGGATGCCGAGAACTGGGGGGGGGGGACACCAGCTGGGGAGGCCCCAAGGGAAGAAGGCTCAGAGTCCTGGTCAGATGTTGGAAGATTGGGAAAGGCTGTGGAAGAAAGGGGTTAAGTTTACTGCATGTTGTTGTTGTTTAGTCGTTTAGTCATGTCTGCCTCTTCGTGACCCCCTGGACCAGAGCACGCCAGGCACTTCTGTCTTCCACTGCCTCCCGCGGTTTGGTCAAAGTCATGCTGGTAGCTTCGAGAACACTGTCCAACCATCTCGTCCTCTGTTGTCCCCTTCTCTTTGCGCCCTCCATCTTTCCCAGCATCAGGGTCTTTTCCAGGGAGTCTTCTCTTCTCATGAGGTGGCCAAAGTCTTGGAGCCTCAGCTTCAGGATCTGTCCTTCCAGTGAGCACTCAGGGCTGATTTCCTTCAGAATGGAGAGGTTTGATCTTCTTGCAGTCCATGGGACTCTCAAGAGTCTCCTCCAGCACCAGAATTCAATTAGCATCAATTCTTTGGCGACCAGCCTTCTTTATGGTCCAGCTCTCACTTCCATACATCACTACTGGGAAAACCATAGCTTTAACTATACAGACTTTTGTTGGCAAGGTGATGTCTCTGCTTTTTAAGATGCTGTCTAGGTTTGTCATCACTTTTCTCCCAAGAAGCAGGCGTCTTTTAATTTCGTGGCTGCTGTCACCATCTGCAGTGATCATAGAGCCCAAGAAAGTAAAATCTCTCACTGCCTCCATTTCTTCCCTTTCTATTTGCCAGGAGGTGATGGGCCCAGTGGCCATGATCTTTGTTTAGTTTACTGCATGTACACTATTAAAATAAAATATTATGAAAATAATGTATAGATGGTACTTAAACCCGGTCAAATTAGCAAAGATTTATCATACACAAGGTGAAAGACTTCTGGGAAAAGATTTATAATGAGTTGAAAAAAATGTTGAAAAATATATTAAGGAACCAGAAGCCTTTCTACTTGGAATATTAGGACTGGAATTGCCCCAAAAAGATGTCAGATTGTTTTTGTATGCCACTACAGCGGCAAGACTTTTATTAGCCAAAAATTGGAAATCTCAAGAAATACCAACAATAGAAGAATGGCAGATGAAGACGTTGGACTTTTTGGAGCTGGCCGACTTGACTGGAAGAATCCGCAACCAGAAAGAAGAGTAGATACAAGAGGATTGGAAGAAATTTAAAAAATATTTAGCTAAATATTGTGACATAAGATAAATAGAAAATTCTTGGAAGTAATAAATAGGCTTAGGGGTAGAATAAGAATGTGTGTAGTAAATATTAAGGATTAGAATATTAATAAAGGAGAAGAGGTTAGTTAATGAAAGGAGTTAATATTATTAGAAATATGAAGATGGAGAACTGTTATATAGGTGATATAATGAAATTCAGATAGATGGGGTTTGAGGAAGTCAGTTATCAATGTAATGAGAATTAGATATTTAAAGATACAAATTTCCTCTGTGTTTAGTTTTGTTTATTGTGGTGTGATGTGTTTTTCTTTGTGATGTGGTTTGTTATGTCCTTTTTGTGATAAATGTGGAAAATAGATATATTTTTTTGGAAAACAACAACAAAGTCCTGGTCAGAGGGAGAAGAGGGACGAGACTGGGAGGAGGAGGTGTTGGCAGCTTAAGAGGCAACAGGGTTTAGTGAGCAGGAAGAAGCTGAGACAGAGAGAGAGAAGTCCAGGCTCAGGGGCAGAAGATGGGGATGGAAAGGAAGGGGACCAAGAGGCAGAGATGAGGCAGGTGGCTGACGAATCCAGGGCTTCTCCCCCTCCTGTTGTGACCAGTCCCACTGCTGGTCTCTCAGGACCAGAAGAGGCATGAAGAGAGTGGAGCAGAGATGAACAAGATGAAGAAGTATCAGATTGTTTGGGAAGGACCCAGGAGAAGAGGAGACTTAAGGAACTGTGGAAAGGAGGAGACCTACAGTACTCACAACTGCCTTATTGAGGCAAGATCTACCGGGAAAAGTTGCTGAGATAAATTCATGACTATCTAAAGCCATGGTTTTCCCAGTAGTGATGTATGGAAGTGAGAGCTGGACCATAAAGAAGGCTGATCGCCAAAGAATGGATGCTTTTGAATTATGGTGCTGGAGGAGACTCTTGAGAGTCCCATGGACTGCAAGAAGATCAAACGCATCCATTTTGAAGGAAATCAGCCCTGAGTGCTCACTGGAAGGACAGATCCTGAAGCTGAGACTCCAATACTTTGGCCACCTCATGAGAAGAGAAGACTCCCTGGAGAAGACACTGATGCTGGGAAAGATGGAGGGCACAAGGAGAAGGGGGCGACAGAGGACGAGATGGTTGGATAGTGTTTTCGAGGTTACCAGCATGAGTTTGACCAAACTGCGGGAGGTAGTGGAGGACAGAGGTGCCTGGCGTGCTCTGGTCCATGGGGTCACGAAGAGGCGGACACGACTAAACGACTAAACAACAACAACAAATCTAAAGGCTGCTAGCCACAAGGGCTATGCTGTGCCTCCATCTGGAGGCAGTTCTGAAAACCAGTTGGTGGAGACCACAGGAGCCGAGGGGGCTCTTGGGTCTTGCTTGCAGGCTTCCCCATTGGGACATCTGGTTGGTCGCTGTGAAAACAGGATGCTGAGCAGGATGCTGCCATTGGCCTGACCCAGCCAGGCTCTCCTTACGTTTGTGTGAGAGTCCCATGACATTGTTTGCTCTCACTCCATCTTTCCTCTGCTCACCAGCCAGGGATGTAGTCAGTGAGTGATGTCATAAGGGGCCAGGCAGTTTCCAAACAACTATTGCTGAGAAGGTCGGAGGTGCGAGTGGTGGGAAGTGTGTGGGTGGGAGGTGACCAACATCTATGATTGAAAAGCTCTTTTGGAAGCTGGTCCTGGAGAAGGAAACGTCCCTGTGAGAAGCGTGTGCCTTGCTGTTGGCCTTGCCCCCGTGGTCCCAACCCAGCTCTCCAAGATGCGCAGGTGAGACCTGGATTTCCCACCAAGCTCTCCACCCCACCATCCTTGTCCACGGAAGGTAACCTCCAAGATGCAGCTCTCGCTTCTCTCTCCTCCTTCGTTGGTGGCCTTTTCCCTGGTTCTAGAGGTCACCTTGGCCAAGCCGTTCGTCTACCTGGTCTACACCCAGAACTCCACCTGCCTCGATTTCAAAGCTGTCCCGGCTTGCTTCGGCCCTCCGCTCCCCCAACTGGGTCTCACGGGCTACCTTGTCGAGGTGGTGCCCGCAAATGCCTGCCAACCCCTAGTAGGCCCTCCGGTTCCTAAGACTTCTTCGCTGGGCTACATTGCCCTCATCCGTCGGTATGGCTGTCCCTTTGGCCTCAAGGTCTTCCACGCCCAGCAAGCTGGCTACCGGGCGGCAGTCATCTACAACTTCTACTCTGATTTGCTTGTGAGCATGGCTGTTGAGGCAGAAGGCCCGAAGGAGAAGAAGATCTTGATTCCGTCCCTCTTCATTGGCGGGTCAGCCTCCAAGGTGCTGAGGGGGCTGGTCCGTTCTGGGAACGGCACCAAGGTCACGACAGTGGTGCCTCAGGGCTATTACAATCCCTGCTGGGATGATGACATGGACATCTCCGTTTGGGACCCAGCTCACCACTACCTGCAGTTCTGGCCGGGCTACTGCACCCAACAACTGATTGTGGAATTCCTCCGAGAGTTTGGGTTCGTGATCCTCCTGAGCTTGGCAGTCAGTGGCCTGGTCTTCGCCGGATGCTTGAAGTGGCACCGGCGGAGACAAGGCATCAGGGTGAAGACCTTCAGGAGAGGCGACAGCTACAACCTCTGTGTGATCTGCATGGCGGATTACGAGGTGGGAGAGAAGGTGAAGATCTTGCCATGCTCCCATGCCTATCACACCACCTGTATCAACACCTGGCTCCTCATCCAGCCCAGGAGCGGGAAGACCTGCCCCATTTGCAAGCAGAAGGTTGGCGTTGTGATCTAGGTCCGCCACGTGGGATACCACTGGATGAAGGAAGAGGAGGAGGAGGAGACGGAAGGAGGGAGACCCAACACGAAATATCAGAAACAACAAAATTCTCCCAAACATCAGCCGTTGTCCCCTTCCTTTTATTGAGATTCTGTGTTTACATTTCAGAATTAGGTACAGATGTGCGCCCAGGGTTTGGGTGGGTTTTTTCTTCTTCTTCTTTTCCAAAAAAAAATAAATAAAAGTGCATGTCTCTTGGAAGGTCTGGCGGTCTGGAGGAGGTGAAGCCAGGTGGATGGGTGACACCTTGGCAAACAGGTGAGATGTCAAATAGTTCAATGAGGTAAGGGCAGTCTGTTGTTGTTTTTTTTAAAAAAAGATGTTTATTAAGGGTTTAATAGTTACAGAATAAAGAAAGAAAAACAAAAAACAACAATAAAAAGTTCACAATACATCAAAAATAAAAGGGGGAAAAAACCACAGCAAAACAACAAGAGAAACAAAAACATTTAAAAACACATCCAGTATCTCTATATCTCTACCTTTCATTTACTTATATCATCGACCTCCTCACACCTCCCTTTTTTGTATTCTTGTTCAATTAGCTATTTCAGCAAATCCTTTCCATCTTTCTTAATTTTTTTTCTACAATTTATCTTATCACAATCTAACCTTAAATTTTCCACTTTGACCCGTTAACAATCTATTTTTGCTTAATTCTTTAAAACATTTCTGCTAGAGCCATATAACTTCATTCCAGCATCCTTCTAACATTCGTTAATTTTACAATATTTCTGTAAATAAACTTTAAATTTTTTCCACTCTTCTTCCACCGACTCTTCTCCCTGGTCACGGATTCTGCCAGTCATTTCCGTCAGTTCCATATAGTCCATCACCTTCATCTGCCATTCTTCCCGGGTGGGTAGATCTTGTGTCTTCCAGTACTTTGCAATAAGTATCCTCGCTGCTGTTGTAGCATACATAAAAAAAGTTCTATCCTTCTTTGGCACCAATTGGCCGACCATGCCCAGGAGAAAGGCCTCTGGTTTCTTCCTTGAGGTAAGGGCAGTCTGAAAGCACCTGGCTGTTTATGTTCCAAGATGCGGGCAGGAAATCCCCCTGCAGTGTGGAGGGAGTGAGGAAAGACAGTCCTGGGTACCGCTTGTGGAATTTGTGCCCCAAATTCCAAATCAAGCTGTGGTTGGCTAATCCCACATGACTGGCTTGTTGGTGAGGAATTCTGCTTCCTCGCTGGCCAATAGCCCACCTGAGAGGCACCGACTCATCCTTCCCTGGTGCTCTGTCTGGGGGCGGAGCAAAGCAAATCCAGAATCCCCTGTAAATTGTGGGTGGGTGGTTCACGCAGACCTGGGAGAGCTTCAGATGGGATGATCAAAGGGCTGGAGCAACTCCCCTATGAGGAAGGGTGGCACTGTGGTCTAAACCCCTGAGCCTCTTCGGCTTGCCGATTGGAAGGTCGGCGGTTCGAATCCCCAGAATGGGGTGAGCTCCTGTTGCTCTGTCCCAGCTCCTGCCAACCTAGCAGTTCGAAAGCACACCAGCGCAAGTAGATAAATAGGTACCACTGCGGCAGGAAGGTAAACGGCATTGCCATGCACTCTGGTTTCCGTCACGGTGTCCTGTTGCGCCAGAAGCCGTTTAGTCCTGCTGGCCACACGACCCAGAAAGCTGTCTGTGGACAAACGCCGGCTCCCTTGGCCTGAAAGTGAGATGAGGGCCACAACCCCAGAGTCGCCTTTATGAAAGTTAGAGCTGGACCATAAAGAAGGCTGATCGCCAAAGAATTGGTGCTTTTGTATTATGGTGCTGGAGGAGACTCTTGAGAGTCCCATGGACTGCAAGAAGATCAAACCTCTCCATTCTGAAGGAAATCAGCCCTGAGTGCTCACTGGAAGGACAGATTCCTGAAGCTGAGGCTCCAATACTTTGGCCACCTCATGAGAAGAGAAGACTCCCTGGAAAAGACCCTGATGTTGGTAAAGATGGAGGGCACAAGGAGAAGGGGACGACAGAGGACGAGATGGTTGGATAGTGTTCTCGAAGCTACCAGCATGAGTTTGACCAAACTGCGGGAGGCAGTGGAAGACAGGAGTGCCTGGCGTGCTCTGGTCCAGGGGGTCACGAAGAGGCGGACACGATGAAACAACTAAACAACAACAACAACAACCGCCCGGGGGTCCTTTACCTTTCCTTTTTTCTTTTTAGGGTTTTATTGTTTGGGGTTTTTTTTTTTAGGTTAGGGGGGTCCATTAAGAGGGAGCATGGTGAATGTGTGCACAGAGGAAGTGGATAGAGGAACGTTTTCCTCCCTCTCTCCCAACTCTAGAACTGGTGGACATTGAGTGAAGCTGATTCAGGACAGATAAGAGAAAGCGTTTCTTCATGCAGTGCAGAGTCAAACTCATTCCTCCATGAGGAAATGACGGTGGCTTTAAAAGAGGATTAGGGAAACTCAAGGAGGATGATAAACTTATCTGTGATCGCCGAGCAGAGTGGCAACGTCCTCCTTCCACTGCCAAAGGCGGTAAACATTTGAATATCCTCTGCTAGGAAGTGTGGCATCATGGTCATGTCCTGCTTTGGGGCTCCTCAAATCACAGAATCACACAATTGTAGAGTTGTCTGGAGGTGGTTGGAGGATGGATGGCGGCTAACAGATTGAGGCTGAATCCTGACAAGACAGAAGTACTGTTTGGGGGGACAGGGGGCGGGCTGGTGTGGAGGACTCCCTGGTCCTGAATGGGGTAACTGTGCACAGTCTGGGAGGTGCGCAGCCTGGGAGTCATTCTGGACTCACAGCTGTCCATGGAGGCGCAGGTCAATTCTGTGTCCAGGGCGGCTGTCTACCAGCTCCATCTGGTACGCAGGATGAGACCCTCCCTGCCTGCGGACTGTCTTGCCAGAGTGGTGCATACTCTGGTTATCTCCCGCTTGGACTACTGCAATGCGCTCTATGTGGGGCTACCTTTGAAGGTGCCCCGGAAACTACAACTAATCCAGAATGCAGCAGCTAGACTGGTGACTGGGAGTGGCCGCTGAGACCATATAACACCGGTCTTGAAAGACCTACACTGGCTCCCAGTACATTTCCGAGCACAATTCAAAGTGTTGGTGCTGACCTTTAAAGCCTCGGTCCAGTATACCTGAAGGAGGGTCTCCACCTCCATCGTTCTGCCCGGACACTGAGGTCCACCTCCGAGGGCCTTCTGGCGGTTCCCTCGCTGAGAGAAGCCAAGTTACAGGGAACCAGGCAGAGGGCCTTCTCGGTGGTGGCACCAACCCTGTGGAACGCCCTCCCACCAGATGTCAAAGAGAAAAATAACTACCAAACTTTTAGAAGACATCTGAAGGCAGCCCTGTTTGGGGAAGCTTTTAATGTTTAATAGGTTATTGTATTTTAGTGTTTTGTTGGAAGCCCAGCCAGGTGGGCAGGGTATAAATATTATTATTATTATTATTATTATTATTATTATTATTATTATTATTATTATTACAGTGGTACCGTGGGTTACATACGCTTCAGGTTACATACGCTTCAGGTTACAGACTCCGCTAACCCAGAAATATTACCTCGGGTTAAGAACTTTGCTTCAGGATGAGAACAGAAATCGTGCTCCGACGGCGCGGCAGCAACGGGAGGCCCCATTAGCTAAAGTGGTGCTTCAGGTTAAGAACAGTTTCAGGTTAAGAACGGACCTCCAGAACGAATTAAGTACTTAACCCGAGGTACCACTGTATTGGAAGGGACCCTGAGGGTCATGTAACCCAACCCCCTCCAAGATCCTTTGGGTCATCTGGTTGGCCACTTTGAGGAAAGGATGTGGGTCTAGATGTGGGTCCAGCAGCCAGGCCCTTCTTATTTCCTTCCTGGAGGACCTCTTCTTCTTTTGAGCAAATCATTTTCTGCATCCTTCCATTGTCCTGTTTTGCTTCCAGCCTTTTGTTCCTTCCCTGCAGTCCCGGCCTAGACGGTTCCCTCCCCTGCCTTCCCTCCGCATAAACATATTTTGTTTCGGCACAGTGTGTTTATCCATCGGGTTACGTCTCCTCTCCTCCCCCCTCAGGTGTTTCTGCACTTTTGTAAAGAGAGACCAAACAGCTAAGCTGCAAACAGGGCTCACAGTGTGATGCGGCAGCTAAAAAAGCCAATGCAATTCTGGGCTGCATCAATAGGAGTATAGCATCTAGATCAAGGGAAGTCATAGTGCCACTGTATTCTGCTCTGGTCAGACCTCACCTGGAGTACTGTGTCCAGTTCTGGGCACCACAGTTCAAGAAGGACACTGACAAAGTGGAATGTGTCCAGAGGAGGGCAACCAAAATGGTCAAAGGCCTGGAAACGATGCCTTATGAGGAACGGCTAAGGGAGCTGGGCATGTTTAGCCTGGAGAAGAGGAGGTTGAGGGGTGATATGATAGCCATGTTCAAATATATAAAAGGATGTCATATAGAGGAGGGAGGGAGAAAGGTTGTTTTCTGCTGCTCCGGAGAAGCGGACACGGAGCAATGGATCCAAACTACAAGAAAGAAGATTCCACCTAAACATTAGGAAGAACTTCCTGACAGTAAGAGCTGTTTGACAGTGGAATTTGCTGCCAAGGAGTGTGGTGGAGTCTCCTCCTTTGGAGGTCTTTAAGCAGAGGCTTGACAACCATATGTCAGGAGTGCTCTGATGGGGTTTCCTGCTTGGCAGGGGGTTGGACTCCATGGCCCTTGTGGTCTATTCCAACTCTATGATTCTATGATTCTATGGGGTAATCTGACAAAAGTTCAGAGTTTTGCTCCTAACAGCTGAAGAAATCAAACACCCTCTCCGTAATGCGATGAGATGGATGGGAACGGATTGGGAACGCGGTGGAACACGTTTAGGAAGGAGCTGAAAAGCAAACCACCCCTTGCCTCGCAAACTCCTGCTTTCACCCCATAGAACATCTCCATAGGGGACAGAAATTCGACTCCGTTCACATTTAAAACCTGAATCCATCCAACCTGAACTTTCTTGAAACTATGAGAACCGAAACACGCCACTTCTCCGGATTTTGTGATGCAGTCATCCAACCGACCAGTGTGAAATATACGTGGAGTCCTGTAGTGATTTCATGCTCTTTATTGCAGCTTGTAAAACAGGGATTGAGTTGCCCCCCAAACCTCAGGCTTTTATATACATTATTTACAGAATGAGTCCCATCTGATTGGCTGATTCTGCTTCCCTCCTGGAGCCTGATTGGTCTTTTCCTGCAGGCCAATCAGTTGTGGCATTCTACGATTCTACCAGCCTCATAGGCTGATTAACTTCCTCCTGGAGCCTGATTGGTCTTTTCCTGCAAGCCAATCAGTTGTTGCATTCTAGGATCCTACTTGTCTATTGTTCTAGGTGTTAGGATACCTGCCAGCCATATCAGGAGAAACTGGCCACTCTCCAGGCTCCCGGCACAATCTCCTTGTGACCTCCCTGTCTGCATTCCCGGCAGATGCAGGCAAGGTCGCGATCGGCGATCCTCCTCAACGAGAGAAGAACACACCGCTCTTCCCCCCCTCCCAGGCAGGGGGAAAGAGAGAGACAGAAATGTATTTACATGCCTTTATTTCTGTCTTTGCAGCATTACAGAGAAACACGTCTGCACTCATCAGAGTCTATCAGAAGAGAGACAAAACTCCTCCTCCTGTACTTCCTGTACAGGTCACTCTGAGCTATTTCCGGTGCTTTGCACTGAAATAAGACTCTCCCTCTGTTCCCACGGAACAGTTCCAACATTCCCATTATGTTTTGCTTTCAAGCCACCTGCTGCTCGCGGTTGCATTGCATCCATATCGTAACACTAGGATCCAAGCTTAGTACATAGCACAGTGTTTACAAAAATTCTCTTTGTCCCGCACCCGTCTCCCCCGAGCCTTTGGCTCCAAGGCAACTGTGGAACTCCCTGCCTGGAGAAACTAGACTGTCTCCCTCTTTGTTCTCCTCCTGCCAGCAAGTGAAGACTGCTTTATTCCAACAGGCTTTTGGCGACTGGCTGTTTTTTTAAGGAAAGGACTTTCAAATAGTATTGGGCTGTCTTTGCTATCTGCGTTCTAACAGATTTGCTTTTGTATTGCTTTGTTTCTGCTACGGTAATTGATATTTAGCTATTATCTTTTGTATGTTTTTTTAGCTTTCTGGATTTTCTCCAAGTTTTAATTTTTAAAGGCTTCCTTGAGTCTGGGGAAGAGCTGGGATAGTAGCTAAATGTAGCGACAGCAACAGGGGAAAGCATGCATAAAAATGCGTATTCTGGTGAAGACAACATACAAAAATGCATTAGCAGACATTGCTTGCAAGAATTGTCTGTGTTAGTCAAAACTACATATGGAAATGTGCTTATTGGGAGAGGGTTTTTAAGTGGATAAATAATTTTTAAAGCCAAGAAAATCGCCAGATATGGCAAGCTGATGCTTACAGTGACCTGGGAAAAATAATATTCACTGTATATGAAATTGAAGAGTGCCAAGCCACATGAAAAGAGTCTGGAGGTCCTAGCACTTGTCTAAATTTCAAACCACGTGCCATTTTCTCCATAGTCGCTATATTCTGATGCAGAGATTTTAAAAAGGCAAATCTGCAGAGAACTGGAGAACTGGTTATAAGACTGGGGAAACGAGAAATGGAGAGGGACTGAAATGGATAGTTTGTTCCTCTCCGAGAGGCGTTAGAATTCCTTGAGAGACCCTCCCCATAAACCCCGCGTGGTGGGGCTGGGTGCTGATAAAGCCCCACCTTGTTTCTGTGATTCTAAGTTGTTTATCCCGCGGAATTTCTGACTTTTCCAGAAGAGTTAGCAAACCCTCCTCGTGTCCCAATTTCCCTGGGACAGTCCTGGAATTATGAAAGGTGTTATGTACTGAAGTTCTCACCCTAGGCCAGCAGGGGGGGGGATACCGTAGATAGTTTTCACTCAGGTCCGCATATGCAAATAAGGAATTGAAAGTGACGTTCAGTGATTGGATAGTTACAGAAAGTTGTTACTGTTGCTTTGTAGCTGAGCTCTATATCAGCAGGTTGGCTGAACCCTTCGGTTCAGTTCTGTTCTGGCCTGTGAATAAACAAGAGCTGTTTGAAGAATCGCTGAGTCGTCTGATATGTTCAGCCACAACTTAACAAAAGTCGCTCTTGCTTCCGATTTGTCCCTGTTTCCCCCCGCCAGCGCTGCCACCAGGGGAGGAGAATGAGCAGCCCTTGTCCTGAGCGACGGGGGCTGCAGCAATTGCAAGGTAGCATCCTGAACAAATTCCTATGCCCCACAAATAACCCAGAGATGTATTTTAAATACAGTGGACGCTTGGGTTGCGAACATGATCCGTGCGGGAGGCACGTTCGCAACCCAAAGCGTTCGCAACCCGCAGCGCTGTGTATGTGCACATGCGGGTTGCAATTCGGCGCTTCTGCGCATGCGCAAAGTGCGATTTAGCACTTCTGCACATGCGCAAGTGCCGAAACCCAGAAGTAACCCATTCTGGTACTTCCGGGTTCAGCACAGTGCGCAACCCGAAATCGCGCAGCCTGAAGCGTCTGTAACCCGAGGTATGACTATAAAATCACACATTCCACTCATGTAAAAACACCAGGCAGGACCCACAAATAACCCAGAGGTGCATTTTAAATAAAAGGACACATTCTACTCCTGTAAAAACACACTGATTCCTGGACCTTCTGCGGGCCGGATTTAGAAGGCGATTGGGCCCCCAGGCCTTAGTTTGCCTACCCATGATTTCGGGAAATGCTTTGTGCATCTGCGTTTAATTTAGACCATTTCTAATATTTATTTATTGGTGTGTGTTTTTCCTTTTTGTAAATCTTCCAAAGAATGGAGTTGGAGGTCGACTGTCCTGTGTCCTGTTAGGGTAATGGTGGTGGCACTTGCCCTTCTACTGTTAGGAAACGGGGTGTGAAAAAAAGGGGGGGCATAGAAGGGTGGGACGCGGGTGGTGCTGTGGTCTAAACCACTCTTGGGCTTGCCGATCAGAAGGTTGGCAGTTCGAATCCCTGCGATGGGGTGAGCTCCCATTGCTCTGTCCCTGCTCCTGTCAACCTAGCAGTTTGAAAGCACATCAAAGTGCAAGTAGATAAATAGGTACTGCTCTGGCGGGAAGGTAAACGGCGTTTCCGTGCGCTGCTCTGGTTTCAGTGTTCCGTTGCGCCAGAAGCAGCTTAGTCCTGCTGGCCACATAACCCGGGAAAACTGTCTGCGGACAAACGTTGGCTCCCTTGGCCTGAAAGCGAGACGGGCGCCGCAACCCCAGAGTCGTTCATGACTGGACTTAACTGTCAGGGGTCCTTTACCTTTTTTTTTTGAAGGGTCAGTTAGGGGGGTGAGTGAGAAATGCCCCTGTTTCCATCTGAGGGATGTTGGAGGGTATGAAATGTACAGCTAATCCGGAATGTGGCAGCTAGATTGGTGACTGGGAGCGACCGCCGAGACCATATAACACCAATCTTGAAAGTCCTTCATTGGCTCCCAATATGTTTCCGAGCACAATTCAAAGTGTTGGTGCTGACCTTTAAAGCCCTAAATGGCCTTGGCCTAGGATACCCGAAGGAGCATCCCCACCCCCATCATTCTGCCCAGACACTGAGGTCCTTCTGGCAGTGTCAGGGAACTGCCATCGGAGGCAGAGGGAGAGGGAGGGCTCCAGAGGGATTCTGGAGAGCGTCCCGGGAGGGAGAGAAGCAGCACATCTTCTGGGGAAGGAAATCAGCGTAACACCAGTGGAGAAGGGGGGCAGATGGGGGAAATCGGCGAGGTGGCTCCAAGACTCCTCGCCGGGAACCAGTGGGGAGAGCACGGGTCCTCCGATGCCCACACACTCCCTCCGCAGAAGGCTTCCGCGCAGAGAAAGTAGGCAGAGACTAGGCGTCAAAGAGCTTCTTTGCTGGAAGAAGTTCAAGAAACGCCCACTAACGGATTCTGCCAGCGATTGAGACAGCCACAGGCGCGTGGCTGTCCAGACAGAAAGGGTTCATTCAGGCAACCAGCCAAGGGTGGCGTTGATTTACACACAAGCAACCCCTAGAACCATTACAGGCGGTTTCCTCCCTGCGAGAAGCAAAGTAAAAGGGTATCAGGCAGAGGGCCTTCTCGGTGGTGGCGCCCGCCCTGTGGAACGCCCTCCCATCAGATGTCAAGGAAACACCTGACTTTTAGAAGACAGCTGAAGGCAGCCCCCTTTAGGGAAGTTTTTAATGTTTGATGTTTTGTCGTGTTTTTGGTGTTCTGTTGGGAGCCATCCAGAGTGGCTGGGGAGGCCCAGCCAGATGGGCGGGGTATAAATGATAGATTATTACGCTGCAGGTGTGTCCTCTGCCAGTCCAGGGGGGGAACTGGGCAGAGTCATGGGATGGGAGATGAGTCAGTCACAGCTCTGCAAGAAGAACGGGCTTAGTGAACTAACTCCCAGAAGCCATGGGGAGGGAAGAGAGACAGGTGTGGTGGTCGAGAAAGGCAAGACGGTGAGGTCACAAAGGGCCAGGGAGAAAGTTCTAGGAGGTCACTTGGAGGAAGTGGCTGGGGTCATTTAGGAGAAGCCAACAGGCCCAGCCTGTTGAGAGGGCAGAGGGAAAGGGCAAAGCACCTGGTCAGACCTACCTCTCACCTCTGCCGCGACACTTCAGTCTCATGGAAACGCAAGTCAACATCTTGAGGAAACGGCTCCTCTTCTAGAGACTCGCAAAGCTCCCCTTCAAGCCAGCCCCAGTCGCGTTGACCTTCGTGGTAGGATTCAGCACAGCCCCAAGGTCTCTGAAAGCACCACCAGCTATGCGACTTCTCTTTCCGCCACCTTCCCGCGTGGTTGCCATGTTCCTGGTCCTCCAAGTCCAAGCGGGGAGAGCCTTCATCCGCGCCGTCCACAGCCACGACTCCCCCAGCCTCGATTTCAGGGCCCTGCCGGCTCTCTTTGGGCCCCTGCTCCCCACGGAAGGGCTCACGGGGTCCCTGGTCGAAGCGAGCCCCGCAAATGCCTGCCTCCCCATTGAAGGTCCGCCCAACGCCTCCTCAGCCTTCATAGTGCTCATCCGCCGGTACAACTGTTCCTTTACCACCAAGGTCCTCCACGCCCAGCAAGCTGGCTTCCACGCTGCCATCATCTACAACGTCGACTCCCAGACACTCGTGAGCATGGTGAGAGAGCCAGACACCGTACATCACATCCGTATCCCTGCTGTGTTCACGACAGATGTGGCCTCCAGGATCCTGAAACGGCTTCATGGGGCTGGCAAGCTGAACTCGGTGGTCCTGATGCCCGAATACTTCCACTTCACCTGGAAGGTGGCTTCTGGGACCACCCGAATTTCTTCCTCGCACCCCTGCAGGTGTCACATCCAGCTGCCCGGGCCCTGCTCTCAGCTTTCACTTCTCCACACTTTCTGGTTCTTCTGCATCCCGGTGTCCGCCTTGATAGCCGCATTGCTCATTGAGAAATACCTCTTGAGGTGCCACAGGTGGAAGGCGGGGAGAAGCTTCCACCTCCAAGGAAACAGGGGAGAGCTGCTCACCTTCTCCTTCCCCAGCTCCAGATACCAGGAATGCGCCATCTGCTTGGAGAAGTACGTTGAGAGGGACAGCCTGAAGGTCCTCTCCTGCTCGCATGCATTTCACAGCAAGTGCATCGACCTCTGGCACATCACCCAAGCCAGGAGCAAGACCTGCCCTCTCTGCATGCAGAGGGTCATGGTGGTCACCCGCTTGCAAGCGGTGAGGCTGTGGAAAGAGGGGGCCGCCAGGGACAGCCGCCGGACCCTGTGGCCCAGCAAAGCCAGAACCGCCGTGGACCAACCAGCCTGCCTCTTGCTCCCCCAGCAACTCCCTTCCCGGTTCTGAAAAATATAATAAAACCAAGAATGAGGAAGGGGTGGTCCCTCCTGTTGCAATGACCAAGGAAGGGGCAATAATCAGCCATGGAGGGCTGGAGGAGGATGTGGAATATGTGGAGGAGGATGTGGAATATGGGGAGGGGAGGGAGAGAGAATGACCGGTTTCTCTGCTACAGTGATAAACCCCAAAAGTTTGGCCGAAACGGGAGTTCTGCTCAGAGCTTCTTGGCAACCAGAAAGGAAGGCAAACAACTGACCCATGGGGCAGTGGGGGTGGGAGAGAGAATGGATAGGAAAGAATGACAGTGCAGGAGATTGCCGCAATTTATTCTGCTCCGCAATGTTAGTGGCAAAAGGGCCTTTCTGATGAGGATCAGAAAATACAGAGAGTATTTATTTGGCACTTGGCCAAAACGTGACAGCTGGAAGGTGATTTATTTTATTTTATTTTATTTTATTTTATTTTATTTTATTTTATTTTATTTTATTTTATTTTATTTTATTTTATTTTATTTTATTTTATTTTATTTTATTTTATTTTATTTTATTTTATTTTATTTTATTTTATTTATTTTATTTACTTATTTATTTATTTGGTTGGTTGGTTGGTTGGTTGGTTTTTCAAATTAAAATTTTACAGAGATATATCATCATCAACAACCTTTTATTCGACCGTCAGTCAGAAAAAAGTACATTTGTCAATACACAGTTAAAACATCCAGGAAGATTTTAGAACTTAGCCAACACTAAAATGGGCTAAACAGATAGCCCCATACAGAGATATATCCAACATATATCACAAAAACAAGATTCCAAGGAGTCTCCTGAACTTCCACCCTCCCCTTTGTGGTTCCTATTATTAGTCAATTCCTACCGCATCTTTAATGATCATCCAAACCCTTTACCCTCTTCCATTAATGTCCAGAATTCAACCTTAAACGACAAGTGCTATTCCAATCCTACTAACGATTTTAACTGTTTACAACAGTCTTTAAGGTAAGTTATAAATTTTCCCAATTCTTCGTTAACATTTTGGTCCACCTGATTTCTGAAACTTCTGGTCATTTTAGCCATTTCAGCATAGTCCATCGACTTCGTCCGCCATTCTTCTCTGGTGGGAACTTTATCTTCTTTCCATCTCTGGGTCAATAACAGCCGTGGTCGCATACATAAATAGTCTTTTCTGCTCCCTTGGGATTTTGGCACCTAGAATTCCTAAAAGGAAAGCTTCAGGCATTTTAACAAAGGTTGTTTTAGACATTTTTTTCAACTCATTATATATCATTTCCCAAAATCCTTTTACTGCCTTACAATTCCACCACATATGGTCAAAAGTGCCTTCTTTTTCCTTACAATTCCAGCGTACATTTGAGCATGTTTTATACAGTACATTTTTCCTAATTTAAGGTAAAGGTAAAGGGACTCCTGACCATTAGGTCCAGTCATGACCGACCCTGGGGTTGCAGCACTCATCTCGCTTTATTGGCCGAGGGGAGCCAGCGTACAGCTTCCAGGTCATGCGGCCAGCATGACTAAGCCACTTCTGGTGAACCAGAGCAGTGCACGGAAACACCGTTTCCCTTCCCGCCGGAGCGGTACCTATGTATCTATTTGCACCTTGACTTGCTTTTGAACTGCTAGGTGGGCAGGAGCAGGGACCGAGCAATGGGAGCTCACCCCGTCACGGGGATTCGAACCGCCAACCTTCTGATCGGCAAGTCCTAGGCTCTTTGTTTAACCCACAGCGTCACCTGCGTCCCTTTAATTGAATATTTAGAAGTGCATTAAGTTATTTCTAATAAGATTTGGTTTGAATTATTATTAGTGAATATCAATATACGTGTCAAGGCTTTGAGATTAGACTACTGAAGAAGCCCAGAAAAATACCTTGGGAGTTGGCTACCTGCAAGCCCCAGTAAAAGAGCCCCATCGGGGGCGAACAGTGGCCTCTTGATTACTTCGGCTGCCAGGGCGAAAAAGGTGCAAAATGCCGACACCCTGTCCACAACTTCATTAACATCCAACTACAGCTTCACTGGGGACGCAGGTGGCGCTGTGGGTAAAAGCCTCAGCGCCTAGGGCTTGCCGATCGAAAGGTCGGCGGTTCGAATCCCCGCGGTGGGGTGCGCTCCCGTTGCTCGGTCCCAGCGCCTGCCAACCTAGCAGTTCGAAAGCACCCCCGGGTGCAAGTAGATAAATAGGGACCGCTTACTAGCGGGAAGGTAAACGGCGTTTCCGTGTGCGGCTCTGGCTCGCCAGAGCAGCTTCGTCACGCTGGCCACGTGACCCGGAAGTGTCTCCGGACAGCGCTGGCCCCCAGCCTCTTGAGTGAGATGGGCGCACAACCCCAGAGTCTGTCAAGACTGGCCCGTACGGGCAGGGGTACCTTTACAGCTTCACTAGCATCTCTTGGTATTGTGAACAACACTGAACTTACTGTATTTTTTGCTCTATAAGACTCACTTTTTCCCTCCTAAAAACTAAGGGGAAATGTGTGCGCGTCTTATGGGGCGAATGCAGGCTGAGCAGCTATCCCAGAAGCCAGAACAGCAAGAGGGATTGCTGCTTTCACTGCACAGCGAACGCTCTTGCTGTTCTGGCTTCTGAGATTCAGAATATTTTTTTTCTTGTTTTCCTCCTCCAAAAACTACGTGCGTCTTGTGGTCTGGTGCGTCTTATAGAGCGAAAAATACGGTACCTTTTGTTGGTATCTTCATGAACTCATTTACAAAGGTTAGCAGTTGACCAACTTGATGAAGGCAGAAGCCAGGGGTACTACGCTTTCCAGACTGACTTCGTGATCAGCCCACTTGAAGCTAGATTATAATTCTTCATCGAGGGCCTCTCAGAATACAAGACAGATCCCTCTTCAGCCTCTCCCAGGAAAGGGCCGTCCAATCAGCTTCCCCCATCCTTTCCTACTTAGCTATCAGATGTACTGCAAATTTCTTGGAATGACTTTTAAGAAGGAGAAGGAGATGCACAAAAGCAGACCTTAATTAGCTGGCAGCTTTGACTTGCGAGGAGTCAAAGGAGGAGATGGAAGTAGGAAAGAGAAAGGAATATTAATGCAGTCTCCCACATCAGTTACGGAAGCCAGAGGAAAGGGAAGAGGGAGCAAGACTCAGATCAGCTTCACTTGCAAACGATGCTGCCAAAAGAATCCACTTGGAATCACTTCTCTTCCTGAAATTTGACAGGCTTCGTCCCATCAGGAAGGGGAGACCATGAGAGCAACTGGCAACCGATTCTAGCAGAAAATGTAAAAGGTTTGACTCTTTTTTAAAGCAGGGGTGGCAATCTTTTTTCTTTTCTTTGCCCCAATGGGCCAGAGAGCCCTCACTGTTTATCAGCTCCATCTGGTACACAGGATGAGACCCTACCTGTCTCGCCAGAGTGGCACATGCTCTAGTTATCTCTCGCTTGGACTACTACAATGTGCTGTACGTGGGGCTACCTTTGAAGGTGACCCGGAAACTACAACTAATCCAGAATGCGTCAGCTAGACTGGGGACTGGGAGCGGCTGCCAAGACCACATAACACTGGTCTTGAAAGACCTACACTGGCTCCCAGTACATTTCCAAGCACAATTCAAAGTGTTGGTGCTGACCTTTAAGGCCCTAAATGGCCTCGGTCCAGTATACCTGAAGGAGCGTCTCCACCCCATCGTTCACCCGGACACTGAGGTCCAGCTCCAAGGGCCTTCTGGCGGTTCCCTCACTGCGAGAAGTGAGGCTACAGGGAACCAGGCAGAGGGCCTTCTCGGTGGTGGTGCCCGTCCTGTGGAACGCCCTCCCATCAGATGTCAAAGAGAAAAACAACTACCAGACTTTTAGAAGACATCTGAAGGCAGCCCTGTTTAGGGAAGCTTTTAATGTTTAATAGGTTATTGTATTTTAACATTCTGTTGGAAGCCACCCAGAATGGCTGGGGAAACCCAGCCAGATGGGCGGGGTATAAATAATAATAAATTGTTGTTGTTATCTTCTAAGATCTGAAGGGCTCTTTCATGGAGAAAGCTGGTTTTCCCCCCACTGCTCCAGAGGCAAGGACCCAAACCTATGTATTCAAGTTGCAAGAAAGGCGATTCCCACAAAACATTAGCAAGAATTTGGCAGTGGAAAGGACTCCTTGGAAGGTGGCGAACTCTCCTTCCTTGGAGGTTTTTAAACAGAGGTTTGCGGGGCCAGTTGTCAGGGATTTTGAAGCTGCGGTTCCTGTTTTGCAGGGGGCTGGACCCCCCCCCCTTCCAACTCAATGACTGTTATTCAATTTCCCACAATTCTGCACCTTTCCTTTAAAACCCAAATCCTCATGATAGTTCATCACCATATCTGTGCAAAGATACATTTTGCATGCCTTTGTCTAACAGGCAGATTTGTGCAAGCAATCCCACCCCACCCCCATGCCTGTGCATTTCTGTATATATTACTTGGCATCACGAAATCCAGGAAAGTGCAGATTCCGACATGAGGCAGGAGTTGATAAAGCAGGTGAGCTGTGCACAGGTGAGCTGCATGCAAGCTGCCGGCCAGCCCTGTGGAGGCTCCTTTTATTGACACAGATATGCAAACCCAGGCAGATATATTTTGGGCTGTGACCTTTACACATCTTCCAGTCCTGGGGTTGTGGGGTGGTGCAAAGTTATTTTGGCACCTGTTTCCACCGCATCATTTCCCCCTTGCGCAGTGTATGACGAAGGAGACAAGGGTCTCAGAGACAAAGGTTACAGACAGGACACCGCAGACTACTGAGACCGCAAAAGGTTAGAAAGAGGGAACGATGTTCAGACGGGGTGTGTGTGCTCCGCACCCCAAGGTCACGCGTGCAGGCAGGCTGAGGCTGCCTGTGGGTGGGGAGTGTGCTCCCTCCGGACCCCGCTCCCCACTCCGCGATCATCCCTACACCAAAGGATAGCATGCATATTTGGTGCAAGTTAGGCGGTCTCTTGTTAGAATGGAAACAAAATAAAATCCATCGCTAGCAAACAACCACAACAGCCCGAT